GGGGAGAGGAAGTGAGAAGCAGGTATTCCTAAAAGTTGGTATTCATATTTGATAACTCGCTTTGTTGCTTACAAGATAGATCTTAGCCATACATAAAAATGAGTGTGCGGGTTTCAATAAGAACTGAAGAAGGGCTTTGGATTTTTGGATTAGTTCATAGCCCATCAAGGGACCACCAACCAGGCTTGAGAATTAGTACTTTCTAATGCTGGTTTTTATGTGGCTTTAAGTTGCTAAGTCTGACCTTAGCCTCAGATCTACATGATTTTATAGGTCCACTTCTCAACACTGTCAGACTTAGTTCGTTCTGGTAGCAGAGGCCCTCAAGAGAAAGAATTTGACTCAGTGTGGATCATATATCCACTTCTGATCAATCAGTTTCGACACAGAATTTAGTCACCCAGTACCAATGTGGCTGCTGAGACTTTTCTCTTTAGGAGGGGCTATGAAGATACTTCCCAAAAGGCCTCATATTTGTTTACTGTAACACCAACTACATCTGTGCCAATACGGATAATGTAAAAGCAATCTGTGATCTTTTTTACAGTCTGAGAAATCACATATTTTGGAACACGGGTAAGGAGATAGCATCTAAGGGGAAAATTAGGAAAATCAGAGTATATAGATAGTTGTCCTGATTCATATCACTTACCTATTTCATGATAAATTTTTCATTAAGCATACTGCCATGCTTTTCACAAAGCATGAAGCTTACCAGCACCTCTAGTAGCAACTCCACGCCCTACATTTCCTCCATTCCCAATGCACCAGCTTCAAGAAAGGGAATGAGAGTCACCAGTCTCTCCTCCCCATTGCTTTCACCTCATCCTTTGAAAGGCCAACCTTGCACAAAGCGTATAGGCTGAGTGATGTCATTTAAGAGAGACTCCTCTTCTCCCAGGGTGAAGGAGACATTGCATAAGTTTTCCCAGATTATCAGAACAACTTCCCATTAGCCGATTTAAAAATGTTTAGACAACAGAGAATTGGATAAATAAAATGTGGTATATATACACAAAGGACTACTATTCAGTTGTAAAAAAAAGATGAAATCAGGTCTTTTGCAGCAACATGGAACTGGAGGCCATTATCTTAAGTGAAACAACTCGGGCAGACACAGAACAACACTTAAAGACAAATACTACACGTTCCCACTTACAAGTGGGCGCTAAATAATGTGTACACATGGAAGCAGAGTGTGGAATGATGGACAATGGGAGGACAATGGCGACTCGGAGGGGTGGAGGGTGGTGGACGACGGGAGGTTGCTTGGTGGGCTGCTTCAGTGATATATGCACTAAAGACTCTGACTTCACCAAAATGCAATATATCAATGTAGCAAAATTGCACTCGTACCCCATGAATATATACAAATAAAAAATGTGAGAAAAATTTTAAAAATGTTTCGACAATGAAGTTATATTAGTGAAAAAGTCACATTAGAGTAATTTATGTGCGATATGTCCTTTATAAGGCCAATTGGATATAGTAATGATTATCTAGATCATGAGCTGTGTCAGATAAATGTAACTTGTAATGTATTTGATTATGACATTTACCTTGCTATAGATGCTGTCTCCACAGAAGCTTAGTCACCATGGCTATCAGCTTATACTTTCAACATCTTTCCATTGCACCCTGCATAAAATCCAACTTCTTGTCCTGACCAACAAAGCCAGCCATATTTGATTTAGCCCTATCTGTCTACTCACATGTGCACAAGCTCCTTAAAGCTGTATTTTTCACCAATATAGTCCCAACTCTGAGTACAGTGCATAACACAATGTAGGTGGTAAGTAAATATTTGCTGAATGAATGAAAGGCCATCATATGAATGGTCATTTTCCTGTTACTAACTACATCCTGAAGGAATGGAATAGAGTCAGCTTCAAAATAACATCCATATTTGTTCCTATAGACATCAGAAACATTCAGCTTACTGCCATGCTTACTCAAAGGGCTCAGAACAAAATGCAAGAGGTTATAAATATATAACAGGTTATAAACAGCAGCATTTCCCAAGTGTGTTTCAAAGGACATCAGTGCCACAAATACTTCTTTAAACTAGAGTTCAAGGGTCACATCTTATACCTAATTGTCTACTCATCTCCACTTGGATGTCTAAGAGACATCTCAAATTTAACTTGTCTCAAACTGATTGGATTTTCACCCTCTCACTAAACGAAAAAACACACATTATTCCAGTAGCTCAGACCAAAAACCTCTAAGTTTTCTTGACCACTCACTCTTACATCCTCATCCAATCCACCGGCAAATCTTGTTGGCTTTACCTTCAAAATATACCCAGAATCTCAGCGCTACACACGTTTTCACTGTCACCACCCTGGTCCAACCCACTGTTTTCCTTTCTGGGGATTATTATTTAAACAATTGGCTTCTCACTGGTCTCCCTACTTCTGTCCCTGGCCCTCCTTTAAGTCTATTCTCAACACAATAGCCAGACTGGTCCTTTTCAAAGGAAAGTCAGAGCATGTCACGCATCTACTGAAAATCCTCCATGGCTTCCTACCTCACATAGAATTAAAGCCAGTCTTTTCCAAGGCTTGTACTGCCCTACATGAACTGGCCTCTGATTATCCTTCTATTCTCACTGCCTATTACTGTCTCATGCAAAGAAGGCTTCTACCCCAGGGCCTTTGCACTTGTTGTTCCTACACTTGATCAGTGAGGCCTTTCTTGACTATCCTTTATAAAATAACAAACCAACTACAGCCCCACACCAATTTTCTCCAGCCCCCTTCACATGCTTCATTTTTCTTTATAATATGTATTACTGTCACATGCTTACTATATTTGCTTATTGTCTGTTTCCTCTGTCTAGAATAAAAGCTCTATGAGGGAAGGAGATTTGTTTTGTTTCATTAACTGCTATATCCCTAGTACAAAGCCTGATCAAATAACTCGCATATCTGAGTTCCTATGGGGGGAGGGTGAGAGGAGGAACTCCTATTAAAACCCTTCAGAAACAGTATTCCTTGGAGTACACTTTGGGAAACTGGTCTAGAAGTTTTGGAACTAGAAGAAAGTTGGAATTTATAGCCTTCTGATTCTATGACGTTTGGCTCACAAAACAGAAATACTTTAATAGGTAAAAGATGGAATGATTCAATATTTAAAATGTTAAACAATATTCTAAATGAAACTGGCTATTTCTATAATCTAATTTTCTAACAGATTTAAAAGGTATTGGATGGTAAGGTGAAAAAGAGTAAGAGTTTTGGGCTGGGCGCGGTGGCTCATGCCTGTAATCCTAGCACTCTGGGAGGCCGAGGCGGGCGGATTGTTTGACCTCAGGAGTTCAAAACCAGTCTGAGCAAGAGTGAGACCCCGTCTCCACTAAAAATAGAAAGAAATTAATCGGACAACTAAAAATATATATAGAAAAAATTAGCCGGGCATGGTGGCGCATGCCTGTAGTCCCAGCTACTCGGGAGGCTGAGGCAGAAGGATTGCTTGAGCTCAGGAGTTTGAGGTTGCTGTGAGCTAGGCTGACGCCACGGCACTCACTCTAGCCCGAGCAAAAGAGTGAGACTCTGTCTCAAAAAAAAAAAAAAAAAGAGTAAGAGTTTTCTTCTTGTCTTGTACAAATTATTTTTCCAAGCCTAACACCCATCTGTAAAATACCCACGGTACTGCTAGGATTGAAGATGATCACTTACTTTGTATCTAGGCTTGACACTCGATTTCTTACAGATACGAAATATTTCCATTTCGACTTTTCTCTAAAAAGGAAAAACTGTTTTTTTCTAACACTTGCAAAATTTTAGGAATTAAACAATTCTAGATTTCTCTTTTCTTCAGTGCCCCATCCTGATCCCTGTTCTACAACCACTATCCTACTGTCAGCATGTGACAAACTCAGTTGGACCAGAGTGGCAGAAAATGTCCAGGTAGTATGATCATACTTTAGATGGAAAAAAAAAAAAGAAAATGTCCAGGTAGGGATATTAGGTTTTATCCACACCTGCAACTCTCACTGGGGAATAAGGGAGGAATGTATCACAATGGGGAAGAAAAGACTATGTAGTGCTTGAAAAATACATTTAATATCAGTTTTACAATTCAGAGGAGAAAAACCCTATGATTTAGTAAGAGAAAGAAAAGCTCAACATCATTATCTTGGTTGATGGGGATACATTAAGATACTGTGACTTAACCAAAGGACTACCCCACCGGACTATTGTGACATTTTTATGTTGATTGAAAGGGGTAAAAGCTTTTTAAAAAGTCTGAGAAACTCTTATCTAGACTAACCCACTAAAAATATTTATAGGTTAAAAAACAAACAAAACAAGAGAGTCCCCAAAAAGTTAACAGACATGCCCAAGTCAGAGAGCTGGGAAATGACTCAAAGTGGACTTAAAGACAAATCCTTGTGACTTTTAATCCAGTTCTCCATACATTATACATTGGCTATGGTTAATCAAGATTTAAATGTATACCACCTGACAAAATGTTTCCCCCATACAACAAAAATCTCAAGGCACACTGAAACAAAAGTTTCATATTAATACTCGAGTTCTTTACTGACAAATTTCTGCTTTGCCTCCCAAATCCATATATAAGAAGGAAGGTAAATGCTTCTTTTGCACACCAATATATATCTCTTAATACAACAATTTTCCCAGTTTAGTGGTACGGTACTCACTTTGCAGACAATAAATCGAGGCTAGGTGAAGTTAGGCGACTCGCCCATAATCACAAAACTAACAGAACTGTAATTTAACTCAGTGTGACCCCAAAGCTCTGTCTACACGAAGCTGCCCTCTCTAAGAAAACCGAACTCACGAACTTGCTGCAGAGAATGAGCAGGGGCCATGCTTTGCATATGGTCTTGGTCGTATTTAACCTGCCTTGTAACCCGCAGGTAAGAGAGCTACGGAAATGAAATGAGTCGCTATAAAGCCGGTGCAAGAATGTTATTCAACACTCTTGATGAAGACCTGGTCTCAACTGAACGGACTCAAAAATAATTTCACAATTTCAAAGCAGCGTTTTTAGAAATCTGCCAGCCGCTTTCACTGCTTGGAAAAGCAGATTGTGCCCTCAAATGGTCAAAACGGGCCCACTTGTTCAGCTGGTGCATGGCCAATCCGGCAATCCTGAATTTTCCTGCAATTATCTTTGCAATCTCTCGCTGCGGCCAAAGCCCTAGCCCCAGCAAATGCACACGGATTCCCCGCCCACCGAAGCTACGCGCATGTGCTTTCCGGGCCTCTCTCGAGGCGACCACCACCTGGTGGCGCCACTTCCAACACGCGATTCGCCCGCTCAGCCCGCTCTTTTGAATACCTTTGTCCAATTCCATAAGGGCAGAGTTAGCATCCAGTTCCTGTTCTCCATAGCCGGCATCTGCCAGGAAAGACTTAGTTGAGTTTGCTGCCATGACCCGATCAGTTACTCGTCTAGCCTAATCAGAAAGATTGCAAACTCGGCCCCAGAACCGCCATCTTCCCCCGCCGCCTTCTCGCGGATTTTTTTCCTCCGCGCGCTGTCAAGCCGTGTTACGCATGCGCCCTGATCACCCCGCGGTTCGCCAGCCCCTCTGCGGCCCCCCGCGCAGGCGCTCAGGGAGCTCTTGGAAGCTAGGTTCCCGCGGCTGGGAGAAAAGGAGGCGGGGATACGAAAGGGGAAGTGACTCTAAAGCGCCCGGACGCCGCGGCGAGAGCCAATCAGAGAGCGTGACGTCAGTTTGGCGCGGAGTTTGGCGGCCGGGGCTTACAGTGGCGGGAGTTGGAGGCAATAACGAGTCGTGGTGAAAGGGGTGGAAGCCACGATTTCTGCTGATCTCGGGGGCATTTCCACGGCTTTTTTCTCCGCTGAGCTTTTTCCTCTGACCCAGATGCTCTTCAGTTCGGTGCTCCGCCAGCCCCAGCTTGGCGTCCTAAGGAGTGGTGAGTAACGGTCCCAACTGCTGCTCGTGGCTGGCGGGATTCTCCTCCCCCCCAAACACACGCCGCCTCCGACCACGGCCGACTCCAGTTCTGTTCCCCAGCCGCCGAGTTCTCGCAGGGGAAGAGTGAATTAGTGAACTACTGAAGAAAGCTATGCTTTCATTCCTTCGGGACACTTTTGATCGTAATCGGGCTTTTTAAATCGTAGTGTAGGCCGAAGAAAGGAGGGACGTTAAATTAACTGGCCTCTGAAGCCCGTTACAGCTTGTGTCTGTGCTGCGCGTTAGCTGGAAATGGCATGCATGTGTGTGTGTGTGTTGCTCTGTTTCTCTCAACAGTTATGTGAGATCATCAAGACTCATATTTGATTAACTCATTCGTTTGTTATAGAACCTTAATGAGCCCTACTGTTTGCTTTGATACACCGGTGAATACGACCGCTGTTAAGGAACTCAGTCAAGCAGAGAAGACAGGACATCTGTTTCTTGCAGGGTCAAAATCTCCTCCCGCCACCCCACACGACTACATGGTTATAAAAATTCTAAATTATAGAGTGAAGGATGTCCATCACCACATCCCCCTGAAATAACCACTGTTAATAGATAGAAGTATATTATTCCAGATGTTTTTTGATGACAGGTAATATCTATTATTTTCAGAAATGGGATCAAAATGTTTTGTTTTTCACTTTAATGGTATAAATTGGACCTATTCCCATGTTAGTATGTAGAAATTGAATTTATTTTCTACAGTTCCTTATGTTCCTGTGTTAAAACATTGGCAGTTAAGACATTTGAGTTTAGGTTTGAAACTTTTTGATATATTTCTGATAAAGGAGTTAACTACCCAGACTAACCTTGGACAGAAGTGAAATCCTACTCGTTTAAAGGTCATTTATATCCAGAGATCCTTCTTCCCAGTGAAACCAAGTGGAAAACAAAACAAAAGAGTAGGGAATTTTTATATTTAAGAAGTAGGTCTAGGAAAAGGATGTCGAAGAAGGAGACTGAGGAGTAGTCCCTCAACTTCCTGCTCCCAATCTGAAACTTTATACCATCCTTACTTTCCTCTTAGATAATTTTGTAATTATACCCCCTCCAAATGCTCCTCTTTCCTCCGCCTTCTGTGTCATGAGTGGCTGTATGCACAGTGTTAGTTGAGAGCTTTGTCTTAGTAGTTAAACTGCCTGGGTTTTAATTAACAGCTCTACTCCTTACTATTTGTATGTCCTGGGGGAAGCTGTTCAGCTTCTATTTTGTGACAGATTTTCTCCCAGTTCTCCATTCCATCTGTCTACTTTTCCCCCTCCCTCTCTCCTATTGACAAATATTCATTATTATGCAGTAGGCACTGAAATTCATTATTATATATTTCCCACTGAAATCTAAATTACTATCTTCTCACTTCCTCTCAATGTTGGTGTTCCATCCTTGGCCCCTTTTCTTCTACCTACTCCCAAGGATGATCATAGCCATAATCAGGGCTTCTTCCACTACTACCTACAACCTTCCATTTCTTGTACAGTAAGTCCTCACTTACCATTGTTGACAGGTTCTTGGAAACTGCTACTTTAAACAAAACAACAAAACAACGTGTAATAAAACTAATTTTACAATCATAGACTAATTGATATAAACAAGAGTTAAGTTCCAATGGCATATATCTGGTCACAAAAACACCACCAACCTTCTAAATAAAGAACCAAAACACTTATAATATTAAACATTGAAATAAATGTGAACCATACATACATTTAAGAAAGATTGTTAGAAACAAGGTAATTATTTACTCCAGTTTTGATGAATGAATGAGTGACAGTGGTTGTAGTGGTGATGGGTTAAATCAAGGAATAAATGTTTGCAAAGGGAAAATTATAAGGAGCACCTCCTACCACCACACAGTTCAAAAGCAATCACAGATATGGCAGCTTGCTGAGCCCTTTTGTACCGCATTGTTTATTTTGTGCATTTGTGTGATTATTGTACACTTTATGGATTTTTGTTTTACGATTATTTGTATTCATTCATTTTCTGACACCTTTATTCCAGTTCTGGGTCGTGGGTGCCCAGATCCTATCTTGGAAGCTTAGGGTGCAAGGCAGGAGCGAGCCCTACACAATATGCCATCCCATCACAGGGAGCACTCACACACATAACCCACACTCACACTGGGATCATGTAGACATGCCAAGGAACCTAATATTCACATCTTTGGGATGTGGGAGGAAACCAGAGTACCAGGAAAAAATCCACACAGACATGGGGAGAACATGCAAACTCCACAGAGACTGGCCATAACCAGGAATTGATTTTCTCATCAATAGTTTAACAAAATGACATTCAATGAAATGATCTTATTCAAGGACCTGCTGTACTTTAGATCCATTTTTTATAAAAGCTATAGTTGGTCTCCACCTTCAGTCCCATAAGCATGTCAAACTCAAATGCCCAAAACTAAATTCACTTTTCCCCAAAACCTGGTATATTACCTATTTTAGGGAGTGGCCCCATTATTTTAAACCAGTATTCCTAGCAGAAACCTAGAGTCAATCAAAGACTGCTTCATCTTCCCCACTATTACACATACAAAAAGTTTCCTTAACATCTCTAGAATCCACCTTCTCTTCATCCCCTGTGATTCTGCCTCTTGGATCTGTTCTGTTCTTACTATTACATTTCCCTAGGTTTGGCCCTAATACCTTCTTGTCTGGGCTACATAACAAGTCTCCCAAATGGCCTCTTAGTTTCTTTTTCTCTAGTTTATTGTCCACATTGCTGCCCATGATCTTTTTAAAATGGAAATCTGGGCCAGGCACAGTGGCTCACACCTATAATCCCAGCACTTTGGGAAGCCAAGATGGGAGCATTGCTTGAGGCCAGGAGTTGGAGAATAGTCTGGGCAACATAGTGAATCTCTGTTTCTACAAAAAAATTAAAACTTTTTTTTTTAACGTTTAAAATGTGATGACATGTGCCTGTAGTCCCAGTTACTGGGAAGGCTGAGGCAGGAGGACCACTTGAGCCCAGAAATTCAAGGATACCATGAGCTATAATGGGGCCACTGCACTCCAGCCTGGGTGACAAAGTGAAACTGTTTCTAAAAAAAATAAAATGGAAATCTGATTACTTACTTTTCTGTGTATTTTTAAATTGGTATCTAAAAGTATTTGTCGTAATTTTTAACAGATGCAAAGAATGTAATTTTCTGGCTATATCGTGAATATTGACATTTTAAAAATGGCTACAATCATTCTTTTCTAATAGAATGTAAATATAATAGTGGTTGGATAATCACGTCATCCATTTTTTTAAAAAATGTGAACAAACTCTTAACTGCTAGACATTCTACATAGTTGCTTTTTCCTTTGACCTTATTTCTATTTCATTTCTCCCACAGAATTTTTCCTAATGTGATTTAATTTTATGCTTGAAAAGTTCTTTTATCCTTTCTGTGTCAAAGAATATATTTATATTGCTATTTTCTGTCATTATAAGACTCCAATTGTTAAAACTTTCTTCTGGGTTGGATTATTACAATTATTAGTAGTATACAATTGATAAAAACAATACAACTAATTTCGATAAATAGTTAAGCAAGAAGTAAAATTTTATTGAAAGTACAACTTTTAAAGAGATGAATTTGGGTGTGTATGGTGCCTTTATTAAAGGAATTATCCAATTATCTCTTAGTTGAGGTTCCAGAAACTTTTTATTTAAAAATATTTAATTGATACCCAAAAGTTTTTATACTTTGGATCAGTGGGAGGGTTGAGATTAGGACATGGGAACACCTTTCCATTGTAAACTGGAAAAAAGGAAGTGATGAAAGGGGAGGGGAGAAGATGTGCCTCAACCTTCTTGGACACATCAGTTTCTTAGATCAGTTTTAGAAATGCATATACAGTCATGTATCCCTTAAGGATAGAGATACATTCTGAGGAATTGTGCAGACATCATAGAGTGTACTTACACAACCTAAATGGTATAGACTGGGCTATACGGTATAGCCTGTTGCTCCTGGGCTACAAACCTATACCTCATGTACTGAGTACCGTAGGCAACTGTAACACAACGATAAGTATTTATGTATCTAAACATATCTCAACATAGAAAAAATACAGTTAAAATATGGCATAAAAGATAAAAAATGATACACCTGCATAGGGCACTTACCGCACACGGAGCTTGCAGGACTGGGAGTTGCTCTAGGTGAGTCCTTGAGTGAGTGGTGAGTGAATGTGAAGGCCTAGGATATTACTCTACACTACTCTAGACTTCACAAACACTGTACATTTAGGCTAAATTTATTAAAATTTTTTCCTTCAATAAATTAACCTTAGCTTATTATAACTTTTTTTACATTATAAATGTCTTAATTTTTTTAACTTTTTGACTTTTTTATAATAACATTGAGCTTAAAATATAAACACATTGTACAGCTATACAAAAATAGTTCTTCTTTATATCTTTATAAACTTTTATTTTCAATTTTTTTTCAAATTTTTTAAGCTTTTTTGTTAAAAACTAAGATACAAATATGCACATTAGCCTATGCCTACTAGGGTCAGGATCATCAAGCTGTCATTGGGTGATGGGAATTTTTCAGCTGCATTATAATCTTATGGGAGCACCATCATATGTAGTCCTTTGATGACAAAATGTTTATGGCACATGACTGTGTATGGAAGTTGAGTACATAAGTACTTCCTTATCCTCAGGGGATACGTTCCAAGACCCCTGATGTGTGCCTCAAACCTCAGATAGTACAGAACCTTATACATGCTATGTTTTTTCCTGTATAAACACATACCTATGATAAGGTTTAATTTATAATTTAGGCATAGTAAGAGTGCCTAATTATAGTATATTGTTATAATTGTACTATAATACAATATACTGTAATAAAAGTTATATGAATCTGGTCTGTCTCTCTCTCTCAAAATATCTTATTGTATAGTACTTACCCTTCTTATGATGTGGGATGATACAATGCCCATGTGG